ACGGTATCTTTATCAACTGTTCGTAGATCAAGTACCAAGATGAATAAGGAAAATAAGAAAACCGAAGCGACCCTGAAGAAAATGCTAGGTTTGTTAGTTTATTAAAATTTAACGGCTTGTCTAAAGTCTATAAACTTGTTTCTTCAATATTTTGTTATGCAGAGGATCAAAAACGGAAGGAAATCGAGTTCGATCAAAGGTTGTCAAAACTACGGACAGAGGAAAGATCTTTGTATGTTCAACATCGCCTTGAGCGGGAAATAACCAAACAAATCGAAAGAGAATTGACAATGAAGGAATGTGAAAGACGCAAATCGACTTAGCTAGAGCTGCAGTCAAATCAGCTTGTTCCATGATCTGGAATGGACAAATTACAAGCATTTCTCCCGAAACGTAGTGAAATTGCACTTATTGTAGTTCATTCTTAAATTACAGAATAAATTCAAATTTTGTAAAATTTCAGATAAAAATTGAATTGGTGTGTTTCATTCAACTTTTAGACTATTTTGAAAATCAAATAGCTGACCTGAAGGCTTCTATCTTTTTAGACGATTCTTTTGGAAAAAATTTATTTCTGATTTTAATAAAAGACAAATAACTTTGTGCAAATGGCATATAAGAAGTGCTTTCTCAACTCTGTTTAATCGTTCGCATACAATGTACGCTTATTTGTCGTTCTCACCATCCGAGTGTTAAACAACTTAAACAAACAGTCGTACAATGTTTATAGATTATGAAAATGCGACGTTCGTTCCGAATATGAACATGAAATGTGCAAGGTTTGCAATGCAAACGGAATAAAGAATATGAAGTGTGAATGCAACATGTGTTGTCGAACGATTTCATTGAGTCATTTCACTTTAAGCGATCACATTCGAACCATCCAGCCCATCATATTTTGATCTGTTGCATTTTTTGGAACGAAATCGCTTTACAGACCTGTGGGAATGGACCGAAACGGCAATGATGGAAAAGACCGAGCGGGACATCCATTTCCAAAAGGTACGTCAAAAGTTAATAAAACAGTCTAAGCCACATTTTTACTATTCATAAACTGTTGAAATTCGTATTCTCCATCATTTTTACACAGACGAAGAAAGATATCGAGCTCAGCGGATTGCAATGATAAAGCGTGTTATCGCAATGTCACAGAAAACCATCGATCAGAACCGAGAAAATATCAAACGATTGACCAAAACTTTGAACGAGATCGAACGGTGTAACAAACCGGCATGACTCAAGCTTAATTTCCAGCAAAACAAAGCTAAATGAATGCAGCGAAAAGTTCAAAATTTAAATTTATTCGCCAAAGACATTGTCATCGCTTTGTGACTTTTGCAAATAACATGAAATAAATTGAAATATTTCGCCAAAACCAATTGGGATTATCTAAAGAAAATCAAGCGTGTCTTCTAATTATGATTGAACTTCATTTGGTACTCTTTTGCAGGCATTGTTCGTTTATTTATTGACTTTTTCAGCGTTCGCTTTTCAGTAAACAGTTTGAAATCAATTTGAAAGGTTGTCAAAATTCACAGTTGCAAACAACAGCATATTCTTATCGCGCTTGAGTCGCTGGCAGATGGCATTTCATTTCAACTGAAATCAGTTCAGACTTTGTAAGGTATTCCATTTTAAAATCTTCACACTTGTGAATCAAACACTTGTTTGGTCGTCATCATCGAATAACGCAGAAAAATGAAAGAAATGAGAAGCTTGTTGGATAGAGGTTTGTTTTTGAATTTCCATCAATTTAATCACTTTTAGCAATTATTCCCTTGATTTAAAATTTATTTGAAATTTAATCAAATGTCCGAATATTTTTCCTAATTTTTTTCCTTGATATTTTTGCAACAGCTCGTGCAGTCGATGAGCCGAATCGTGAAGTCTATATGCAAGTACAACGAGATTTGGAGAGAGAAAACATCATGAACCCAAACTTATTGCAAAATCGGGAATGTCAAGGCTTACTTGTTGAATTTCGGAAACGGATCACACTAGAGGAAGAGCGGAAGATGGCATTGAAAGAGGCCGGGGAAAATCATCATAAAATCATGTGAAAAACGCCAATATTTTCGAACCACATTCAAATGGTGAAGCCGTTAGAAGTGTAATCGATTTTGACTATCCACACTAGAATATAATCTTTTGATTTCCATTTTTCATGGCAATTTTTCTGAATATGAAAACGTGTTTATTTGGTCATTTTAATAAACAGCTCTTTAGCCAAAATATCATATATTAAATTATATAAAAACATCGTTTTCTTTTTGTACTCTCTCCGTTTTCTATTTATTCCTTACAAAAAGAACATTTAAACTGCGGTGGGCCAGTTGTTTATAAACAAGAATCCGAAAATGCCTTCCAATTGGCCAATTCAAAGACTGAATGCTTGTTATATCGGTGATCGTACTCAGTAACACCGTTCATTCAATTTACATCATCGTATCATTTTCGTTTTGACAGTCGATCACTTAATACCCAATAACGAACAGCTTGATATTCGACTTTTCGTGTGCGATACACTTGAAAGAATATGAACGGGAGGAGCAAAGAATTGGATCTTCTTTGCAATCTGATGGATAGAGGTATATTTTGCTCGAAAAAGTTTCATTTCACACCAATATTTATCGGTTATAATAGTTCAATTTCAACTAAAAAGTCTTTGGTTTTCTTTCTACTTCCTTACAGCATCAATGGTTCACGATGAAAAGCGTGACTACTATCTGCACATTCGCCAGAATGCTGAACAAGAATACGTCAAAGATTCGGAAAACCTTCAGAAAAATCTGGAGCATCCAAAAATGCAGCGTAAACTGGCTGGATTTGAAAAGTTGGTGAAGAAAGGCGAACGGAAACAAGCGAAAAGTTCAAGTCGTGAAACGTATGCCCAGCTCAATATGAAATATCGTTAGAAGTTAGCCGTCAGAATATCATTAGAATGAAGTGAATTGAAAATGACAAATAAATTCACATTTTACAATTGGCAACAATGAAAGAGATTCGAATTTTTCTGTTTTTGAACTTAAGGAGCAATTTTTTTCTTGAAGAATTTCCAGTGTATTTTCTGAAGTGAGCGTGTGAGGTGAGTACAAGAGTAAGTACCTAATAGTAAATTTGTTTCCTCTTTTCAATGAAATTCAATCGTTTTTCATTGATTTGCGTCGAGAGCAACTGTTCCATGTGAAAATGTCCATTTTTGTACTCAAAATAATTGATTAAAACGGCAAATGAATTGAAATTATGCAATGAGTGAAGGAAAAACGCATCGTTGGTGGCAGCTGTACACATTGAATTCAAGTTGAAAAAAAGAATCGCTCAAGCATGTGACAATGATAATCGTAATTGGCAATTGCTATATGTCGTGCGCGGTGAGAGGAGAATAAAAAAAATACTGGGAATCACACACAACTGTAAAAGTACAGAAATCATTCATTTCGTGATATTTCTTATTGCGCGTAAATCGATGGCACTTTGGCATCGTTCCGAGCATCGATGCAAAGCTCAAGTGAATATATATATATATCTCATTAAAGTGTCTTATGACTGCGAACGCATCTGCATCGCCCGGGCAACACCGGTTTTTATCGATAGTCGCACGTACAGTAATTTATTTCATTGAGTGAGCATCACAAATCACAGTAGCCAAATGCGCATTTTGCCGTCAATAGAATGACGAACATTATGCATTATCGCGAGACGCGCGCACACACGATCGCTTTTACGCTCATCGTCTCAAACATTAAATTATTCGTCGAGTTTTATCAGCAAAACTCTCGGCGCGGTGACTTGTTTACTTTGACTTCTCGGCGCAGTGAGAGAAATCTCGTTGCATGCTTGGCTCTGAATGAAAACTGGCTGGTAATGGACAACGTGTTTGCGTTGAGCCGTGAATGTGACATGATAAAATTACGATGGAAACGTAAGCGAATGAGCGAAGAGAAGAGAAAAGAAGAGAGAAAGAGAAAAAAAGGAGTCGAATCCATTCCAAAGATGCCACTTGTATTTTGAAATTTTATGATTGCACATTTGTGCGGTGTGCGTTCTACAATTTATCTCAATATAATTTAATTTCCTTCTGATTGCTTGCCTACTTCTCGCGCTCTCCCTCTCTCTCTCTCGTGCGCTTCGTGCGAAATTCTGATTGAGCTTTTAATTTTTTCGATGCAATTTTTTTCTTCTACGTCGTTCACGTTTCGAGACTATTTGCGGCGTAGCATTTTTCAGTCGAAGTCTCTTCTATTCGATTGAATAAATACCTTTTTAAGCGATTGCCTTATCAGCTATTGAATAATGTTAACTATAAAACGTATGTAAGAAATGTCAATTGCACTTTTTATAAAATGCGATTCTAGCGGAGATATTGGCACTGCTTCTGGAAAAAGAGAAGAAAACAGGAGCAGCATCGTTCGGATTACGTGGTCTATGTTTCATATTTCAGCGTAAGATCCCACGATGACGACGTTGTCGTCGAATGATATGCCAATACAATCGCTCAAATGGGAGACGCTTCCAATGCGACCGAACATACCAATAAAAATAGACTAAATTCATGACTGTATGTGTGTATGTGAATTGTGTGCCATGGGGACGCAAACAGAACGAAACGAAAGTCCGCGACAAATAAAAACAAAAGAATGAATAAGATAAAAATGGCATTTGTTGAAAATGGCAGAAAAATTATATTTTCTTGTTGTCTCTTTGTTTGTGATGCGTTTTTGCGTTGGTAAAAATTTCCCATAGTGCCATTTGCTTGTGGTGCGTAAACGAAACGAAAACAGAAGAGAAAAAAAACCATTCTACTTATTCTGTAACCATAACAGCGAACTAATTCTTGGCTATTGCCATTTGTGCCATTTCTTATTCGATTGTCACACACGTTTGTTGTGTTCTTTTGCTCCTCCGTTTGAGTATTATGTTTTCCTAGCACATCATTATTATTAAATGCGCTTTCGTTTTTTTTTTCTCTCAGTTTCTTATCTCGGTCGATTCTAAGTACTCAACAACCGCACAAATTGCCGTTGTCGGCCGTTTCGAAAATTGTTTACTTTTGTGTGACATATTCAGAAGCGGTTGTTTTACACGTGAGATCCATACGAAACGATTAGATTTTATTTAAGTGTCGTAAACAATGATCAAGAAAACGAAAAAAGGCGGCTAAAGTCGAGCCAACAGCGACATTGGCGCGACAATCAGCATTTGTTTTTTCTTCTCGCTTTTTCATTTCACTTTGGATATTTCAATCATGGACGGAATAGTGAGGCTTAAAATCACACATTTTGTTTTCCACCGAAGCGTATGATTGAGAGACAGAAAGAAGAGAGATTGAGAGAAAATTGAAATCACCTCGACACGATCAAGGTCTCAATAGAGTCACAAGTGCTTTTAATTAGATAGATAGGGTAGCCCTTCGGTGAAATGAGATGCCATTCATTCGAAACGGAATGAATTGAAAGAGCTCAACCGCGGAAGCATCTCGTTTTCGAAACGAATGTATGTAATTAGAATTGGTTAACGAACAAACGAACATACCGTTCAATTCGCACTGGCCACATGAGAATTATGTGTCGATGCGCGGTGCGCGCGCGCAGATTGGAACGGTCGATAATAATTAGCAATTGGTTTCGTTTTAATGCTACGTTTGGCCTTTACTCGTTTCAGCAGTGTGTTCTATTCTCTCTGTACGTTAGTTAGTCACTGTGCACCGAGCGCGCACCCATGGAAAGTTATGTGCACACCGCGCAATACACCAAAACGATTGATATATTTATGAACATTGTTGATTTGAGAGCTCAACTATAAATCACATACTTTAATGGACGACTGTGCGCAAACGCTAAGCACTCTTTCTCGCTTTTCTCCATTACTTTGACTATTCGTGCGGTATTTTTCA